GCCCCAATTTTAAGGTCTTAACACCAGTATTCTTAGAATCCTTATTTACCAATATTGGAAACAGGCTTAGGAAAGTTGAGTGATTTGCCTCCAATCACATGATAAAGTTCACATTCAAAGATGCTGCCCTTCACTAAATATACTACTTTTCCTTCATTCATCTAAAAAAAAATGGCATCTTGTTTGGGATATCCACTTTATACTTGATGGTGTAAATACTCATATGTAACATTTATTATAAACATTTAAATCATGTCATTGAATTTTCATCATATGCCATAATCTCCCATTTTACACTTGACAACGAAGCAAAGTAGAAGAAAAGACACGGTCCTACTTTCATAGGAACTATTGTCTATTAGAGAGAATATAGGATGTGAGAGGCCAATTACCAACACCTCCCTCCAGTAGCAAGGTCTCAAGTTACTCCAGCAACGGGTCTTCCTGCCAATAGTAAAGATGGCGCCCACAGTGCCACGCCTCCATTACCCACAATGCAGCGTGAGTAGGGGAGGAACGAATTCTGCCAGGAGTTGATATGGCTCCATTAGTTACGCCGTTCTTTCTCTGTCTCTTCACTTCACCAGAGACTTAACTGCCAGGACTAGGCCGCCCAGCAGGAGTTAAATATTCTTCGGCTCTCCGCTGACTGCGATGAGAGGAGCCACTGACGCTGAACGACCCGCTCGCCGAGTTCAAGTCCGTAATCAGGGAAGCACCACTTCCGCTGACGTCATCACGGCGACACGTGGATCCAAGATGGCGGCGGCGATGGTGAGTGAAGGAGACTCCGGGAACCGGAGCTAGAGCAGGGCTCTCTTGGGTATTCCGGGGCTTTCCGACGCCCCAGGCCTGATCCCGAGCCGCTTCCAGGACCCCTGGCCAGGTTGTCCCTGACAAGACTTGCTTCTCACGAAGCCCCCTTCCCCGGCCTCGCGCTCACGCTTGTCAAGGCCCGGAGTTTTCGGGGAGGCGCCGTGTCGGAGGAGGACCGGGCTACTGCCGCCTCCTGTTCCCAGTCCGACGTTGGTCCCCGCCCCCTGTCACCTCCACTGTCCAAATTTCACCTCCCAGTCCTGACCTTCGGAAGAACCCCCGTTATTTCCATCCACTCTCCTCCCATTCACGTCCCGCCCTGCTCTCCCCGCCTGCCACCGTGCTAATCTAGTCCACCGAGGAGATCCCGCCTGCCACCAGCGCATTACCCCCGGCCCTGGCCTCTCCCCACCCTCCGCTGTTAACACCACGCACTCCCCCTCCACTGCCGCAACCCCAGAGGATGCTCTCCCCGACCTCACCCCGGGTCCCCATCCCCAGACCCTTCCTACCCTGCCTGTCTCCGTCAACTCATCGCCTCTTTCCTAGGGTCATTTTATCTCAGTAGTTCTCAAACTTTACTGTGCAGAAGAATTTCCAAAAGTATGTTAAGATGTAGTATCCGTCTTTCCCAAAGATTCTAATTTAGTAGGACCGGGCAGGAATCTACACTTGATCACATTTATAAGTGATCATGACGGAAGTGGCCCATGAATTAACGTCTTCAAAAACACTTCTAGTCCACCTGGCTGGTTTCTGGTTCCCTACAGGGCCACACCACTCCTTAGGGATGAAGTCAGTGTGTAGGTGAAGGTGGAGGTAAAAGAGTTGTACTTGTAGAATGGGTCACAACTTGCTGTCTTCTATTAGAGAACCCTGAAATCTTTAAGGAGTAGCCTAGAAAGAAAGAAAGAAGTTCAGCTCATATCTGTTTGTCAGGAGGCCAGAACTAAAATTGAAATCATATATAAAATTAATCCAGAGTGATTTCCCAGATCTTCCTGTAAGTTGCGTCCTCAGCAGATAATTTCATCCTGGGAGTGAATGACAAGACACAAATGAGAAAAGGATGTGACATTTGACCATTACAAAAGAAGATTCTTGCTTAAGTTCTTTAGTGTTGTTCTGCTCCAAATGGGTTGATGATTGACTGATAAAAGCTTTCCTTCTGTTAGTTGATATATTTTGCTTGCTTTTTGCTTAATGAAGGATTCCTTATTTAGAACCTCAGAAGTCAGGTAAAAGATTTCATGGCCTGGGTATGGGATGTCGTTTAGTGGTAAAACACTTGACTTGCCTGCATAAGGTTCTGGGTTTGAAGCTTATCCCCCCCCACCCATTTCCCACCCCCTCAAAAAACAAAAAAACAGAGCCTTAACTGGTTTTCCCAGTAGTAAGATGTTGAAACTCCATTTTCCTTTAGCATATTCAGAACAAGGGTGGTGCAAGAACAGGAAATTATACCCTCTTATCACCATAGGAAAAGGCTCAATAAAATAGCATTTATAACATTTCACAAGGAAATTCTGGCCCTGTTCAGAGATTTTTAAGAGTTTATAAGTTAACAAGACATATTTCTGGTACACATTTATTTAATCAGCAAATATTTGAGTGCTGCTCTGTACCAGGAATGAGGAGTGTAATTGTGAATTAGAGAGTCAAGTCCCACCCTTGTGGAACTTTCCTTGTCTGAGAAGATGGACCAAGAACAGTATGTTAGCTAGGGCCAAGTGCTGTGAAAACAGCAAAGTGAGGTGGTAGTGATTGGCAATGATTACGTCATAGAACCACTTGACATTGAAGGGTGAAGAAGTCTCAAGAGAAAAGTGATGTGAGTTGAAACTTGGTTGAAAAGGATGTCTTGCAAAAGGAAATGGCAAGTGTGAAGGCCAAGGAAGGGGAGAGGTTGGTGTTCTTGAGGGTCATTTAGCCCAGATATGAGAGGTGGGGGTAGGAGAGAATATTAAAGATGAAGTCAGAGAAAGGCAATCAAAATTTGATTCTAGAAACACACCTGTAATTGAAGTGAGTCGTAGCCAAAGTTTGCGGTCTGTGAATTGCATTTTGTTAGGCTGTTTTTGCTTCCCGTTTCTCCCAGGACTTATTAGGGGAGCATTTGTTTTGTTTGCAGACAAGCCAGAGATTTTATTGAAAGAACCAATGTGTTGTGCTACCTGGAAATATCATACTGTGTTGCCATCCTGAAAGAAACAGTAACTGATCTGAAGAAATGGAGTATGTGAAGCTTACACTGACAGAGACCAGCTTAGAGAGTGCATAGGAGAAACTGCACATTTGGTGCAACATTGACACGGTGTGGAAACAAGTATGTTACAGGCATGGATGTGTAATGGGCAGAGTGGAATCACAGGCAGTCATGAGTTTAGTCTGTAGAAAACTATTACATAGAAGTCACAACAGTCCCCACATCCTCATATACACTTCTTTTCATAGCCATTGGGGGTGCAGTGTATAGGTCTAATTTGGGGTATATTGGTTTCTAAGGCAAGTCATATAGCCAAGGAAGAACTGCACTAGTGGATTGACTCAGTGGCCTTGAGAACTGGTTAGAGTTTTGATTTGTTCTCTTGTTTAGAAAGTTGTAGATATATAATTGAAGGACTTTTCCCCCTCTCTGTGTCTTAACTTGGTTATTGACTTTTCTTCTCCAAGAGCTGGTCAGGTCAGGGCTGGACAGAACAACAGTGGGTGATTTCTCCATTAGAGGAGAAGGTAGCTGAGACTTTTCTCTTCCTCCTCCTCCTCCTCCTCCCCCCCTCCCCCCCTCCCCCTCCGTTCTGGGGCTTGAACTCTGGACATGAGTTCTGTCCCTCAGCTCTTCTGCTCAAGGTAAGCACTCTACCACTTAAGCCACACTTCCTGAGTGGTTTATTGGAGATAAGAATCTCACAGACTTTCCTGCCTAGGCTGGCTTTGAACCATAATCCTCAGATCTCAGCATCCTGAGTAGCTAGGATTACAGGGATGAGCCACCAGTGCCCAGCCCCTTTTAGCTGTTTGGTGGTTAATTGGAGATAAGAGTCTCACATCTCACAGTGTTTCCTTCTGGACTGGCGTTGGACCACATTCCTCCTGAGTAGCTAGAATGATAAGTATTTAGTTCAGTATTTTGTTTTTGTTTCTGCCAGTCTTAGGACTTGAACGCAGGGCCTGGGCACTGTCCCAGAGCTTCTTTTGCTCAAGGCTAGCACTCTACCACTTGAGCCTTAGCACCACTTCCACCTTTTTCTGTTTATGTGATACTAAGGAATTGAACCCAGGGCTTCATGCATGCTAGGCAAGCACTCTACCACTAAGCTACATTCCCTCGTTCAGTAGTTTTTAGTTTATTCAGAGAGCCAGGCAACCATCACCACTATCTAATTGCAGAACATTTTTCATAACCCCAAAAAGAACCATTAGCAGACAGTCCTACTCTTTCTATCTTCCTTAGCCCCTGATAACCACTAATTCACCATCTATAAAGATTTGCCTTTTCTGGACATTTCATATGTAGGAAATTTACAGTATGTGGCCTTTTGTGTCTAGTTTCTTTTATTTACCCTGCTTTCAAAGTTCATGTTGTAACAATGATCAATCAGTACTTCATTTTATAGCTAAACATTCTGTTGTATGGATAGACCACAGTTGGTCCACTCATTCCTTGTTGGATTGTTACATGTAATGCTGCTGTGAACTTCGTGGCATTTTGCATGAATATGCTCAGTTTTCTAAGATCTAAGCCTTGGCATGGAGTTGCAGGGTCAGTTCAACTGTTTTGAGGTTATTTGGTGTGATCCAGTCTAGAAATAGAGGCATGGACTGAAAGATACAGTTCCTTTGAGCCAGTGGATGCAACACAAGCCACCCTCTGCAGCTTTAGTCCAAAGTTCAGAAAGGGTTTTTACTGGTGGAATCTGGTGCTAACTGTAGTATAGTTGATGGGAGAGTCTTGGAGTATGTCCTTTTTGGAGGGTTTCTGTCCCTCTCGATGGCTTGGACATCTGTTCCCTAAGGACATAGACTCTCACGGATTTAGTGTGTGGCCTGGACGAGCGCTTTGGCTGTTGCGATCTGTTTTCCATGTATGTCCTATGTAAGATTTGATCTAATTAATTTTTAAATTTCTTTATTGTTATTATGTAGGTGATGTACAGAGGGGTTACTTACATAAGTCAGATAAAGAGTACATATTCTTTTTGAACAGTGTCACTCCTTCCCTCGTTCTTTCCTAGTTTTTCCCTCCCATTTATGTAATTTTCAGCATAGTGTCCAGTGTGGACTCATTGATTTTTAAATTCCAAGCTGAAAATTTTGTGACAAAGAATACTTGGCATTGGGCAGTGGTGGCTCACACCTGTAACCCTAGTCATTCTGTAGGCTAAGACCGGAGGATCATAGTTCAAAGCCCAGCCTGGGTAGGAAAGTCCATGAGACTCATCTCTAATTAACCACCAAAAAACCCCAAAGTGGAACTATGGCTCAAGTGGTAGAGCACTAGCCTTGAGAAAAAAGTTTTGGGACAGTGCCCACACCCTAAGTTCAAGCCCCAGGACCAGCATATACACCCCCCCCACACACACACACAGAATACTTGCCACCACCACCACCAAAACAAAAAACTTGCATTTATGGTGAGTTTTGTTAATAATGTCTATAAGATCAGATTTTTCTCCCCAGCATAGTTGTATTGTGTTGGTTGTGGTCACCTGTCTGATCTGAGTTTTTCCCCTTGACACATATTCTGCAGGAGCTACTGTGTGCTTGGAGCTGAGGCACTGCCCCCAGGTGTTCTCTGGGGAGCCCCTCTAAAGGGGAAGCTAGTCCCCCACAGTCCCCCCGCTAAAGTACAGAGGAGGCAGAGACAGCTTTAAGTTACTTCTTGGTTTCTCTTTTACAACTTGGACAAAAGCCCCCCTTTGATCTAGGTATTAAAGGAGCAGGTTGCAGAATGTTGG